AAAAAAAAAAAAAAAAAAAAAAAACAAACACAACCCAGAAGTATCTTTCATATTAAATGGTTTGTTTTAAATAGAATATGTGACTATAATCAATGTGCAGTGGCTGCTATGTATTAGGTACATAATCAAACTTAATTGCCAATGCCAGAGTAGGTGTTATATCCCATTTTATCAAAGATAAAAGGGGGGCTCAGGGCATTGCTGTAACTCACCCAAGGCAACAGCAAAAAGTGACAGAGCCAGATTCAAACCTGGGTTCAACCAACTCTAAAGTCCACATTTTCCCATCATTCTTGCAGCCATAGCAAATAAAAGTAACAGTTATCAAATTAGCCTTGTGAGCTAATAGAAACACGAATCTAATGTGCTTTCCTGGAACACATGGAATGATTTGTTTTCTTATAATCTATAAGAGGCTCAAAATGAAATCTCGGATAAAATCCAGTTTCCGTGCACCATTCCATTGACTGTTTTCTTGAGCACCGAGAACACATGCACCAGCTTGTGAGAGGCGACCTTGGACCAGGAAGCTCTCACATCATGAGGGGATTCAGATTTCAGCCGAAGTCCAGTCACGTGACATTTCAAGGAAGAGTCTTCTCTCAGCCAAATCTCTCAAAATCTTACTTCTGAAATTTCAGTTTTTGGAGAAGTAGCTAGTCTTCAGGAAGGGGTGATGGTTAAAATTATTTCAAAATATTTGAATGTAACAACATACGGGCACACCCACAATCTCTTCTCATAATTATTCACAGGAAGCCAATCGATGGAATTGTAGATCTGAAACCTATATAATTTTATTAACCAATGTCACCTCAATAAGTTCAATTTTTAAAAATTTAAAAAGAAATTTCATTGCCTATTTAAAAAAACCACCATGTGCAAAGCAAAACATTTAATCCCTAATGACACTTGTCGTTGAAAAGAACTGTGTCAATAATGCACCCAGCTCTGTGTAAGCACCAGGCATACACAGTTGAGTGCAGCCTCCTGCCTTCAGGGGGCTTACATTTTGGCAAGAGAAGGGAGGAAGGGTGATGAGCCAATACAGGAGCCACGGGGGAACATGGCAGTGGGCAGGTGCCAGTCCCCCTGGGGAAGTTCACATACGCTCCTCACCTTAACTCATTCAGCCTTCAAAGAAGGAACTGTCAGGCAGGTCAGCTCTGGAGGCCTGGCTGGGGCATCACCGGTAGAAAGAGCAGGAGCAAAGCCACAGAGGTTGGGACCCACCTCTCTGATGAGCACACAGGTAAGCCACAGACAGTCCCTGCAGGGCCCTTCGCCCCATGGGGAGTTACTGGACTCCACGGGCACTAGAGTCATGGAAGGATTTTTTAAGCCAAAGAGTAACAAAATCCAATTTGCATCTCAGGGAAATGACAGTGGGACTGGAAGTGGAGGCATTCGTTGGGGGAGTAAAAATAACAAATGCACATCTTAAGATGAAACACAGGAGTGTAGGGGCAAGACGAGGCTGTTAAGACAGGTACAATGAAGCCGGAGAGGAAGGAATCCACAGGTTCTGGTGACCGAAGTTCAGGTCTTTGGAATATGGGAGGGGAAGGAACGGGCCACCACTCGCAGCCTGGACACCTGGACACCTGGATGTACAGAGCTCCACTCACAGAGAAGATGGACCCGAAGGGAACCTGCCAGCCCCCAGCTGGTGGCCCAGAGCGATTCCCACTGGGCACCCTAGACCCGGTGCAACCAGCAAGCGGGGCAGGGGCCCTGCACGGAGGTTTTGATAAGAGCAGGCACCGGTGTTGGAGTCGGTGCGCAGCTTAAAGCTCTGTCCATCCTTCACAGGCAAAGGATATTGCAAAGCTCCCTGCTATGGCCAGGCAGAGAAAGTCATGCTTCAAATGACATGGTCTTCTATCCCAAGAAGTTATTTCTGCCAGTGTTTTGCCCTTAGGTCATTTAAAATGCTTTTTTCAAAAATCAGAAGGCAGCACTTCGATGCCTTTAGAAAGGGCTTCTACGAAACCAGTATTTTGATCAGTCTCGGACACTGTCCCAGGCTCAAGGAGAGCAAACTGCCCACTGCATTCAGCCTGTTTTTTGCAAAGTTTATTTGGCAAGTTTATTAAAGTCTTATTTACTACCAAAGTTAAAGTGTTTCATTTATCACCCTTACTTCTCCGAAAATGTTCCCAGACCAAGTTCATGAACAAACAAGACAAATTTTTAGAAGGCTTGATATTCGGTAATGTATGATAAAGCTTTTGGAGACAGAAAATTATAAGTATGAATAAGGTTGAAAATGGCTTAAATTTCAGGTGCTCAGAAATATGTAACATGCCATAGCATGGTTTAAAAACATCAATAAATGGGTCAAATGCAGCAGGTACATCAAGAAGGTGTTGCCTCTTAAAATGTGCATTTTCTATTTTTACTAGAAAATATTCTTAAATTGTCATGTTAGGGACAAGACTCATTTGAAATGTGTTCTGCATATAAGGGCACATTCCTAAGCAATGTTTGACCAGGAAACTATTTCTTATAAACAAGCTTTTAATTGAGTTTTCCTTCTCGCAGTTATTTTTAAGTGCATCGAAACAGCACAGAAATGAGTGTCACTGTCTCATGAGAAAGGTCTTTCATTTTCTCTAAAGTGACTATTTTTTTAAATGAGAAAGGCAAGTTCCCTAAAAATATTTTCCAACAAGTCTTCTGATATTTAGGATTAGACCACTGACATCTTGGCAAAACAGAAAACAAATCCTTTGCTATTCAGAAAACTCATTAATGGACATATCTACTAAATTTTATAGAAAATATTAATGCCAAGTGGCACCTGCTGCCTTGGTATAAAACGGATAGAACATATAAGAATGTTTTTAGAAGTGGGAGAACAGGATGCTCCTATGAAAACCAGTAACAGGAACATAAAATTGTAGGTTGTCTGTTTAAAGGTAGCCCCACGGCTTCCTGGGGGGGTGACTGTGACTTAAACGAATCTTCTCACCGACGTTTAATTAAGTCGGCCTGCATTTTCCCCCAAGTGCTTAATAAGAGCTCTGCCACTTCCCCTGTGAGAAGCTATTATGTGCAGGAAGCAGAGTGTCCACTGCGGGCTGTGAGCCAGCTCTGCAGGGACCGCTGGGGACCCGCGAGATGCTTTGCATGAGCCGTATGCCGCCTGAGGACGCCTCATGTGGCATCCATCCCCTCACCACGCACACACCAAAGACAAGCTGGACCCCGACTGGGGAAAAGCCGCCTGCTTGGAAGTTCCCTGCCACGGGAAGTCAATTTTTGTGAATCACTGTCTTAATATTCATTAACGGCGTTTAGGCTTTTAATCCCTTCCTGGATATATTTTTTCCATAATTGCTACTTTTCAAAAGGGCTGCCAGAGTAGGCATCTCTATTCTCCGACAAACGCAGAGGGAAACATAATGTTTTACGCTCATCTGCAGTGTGTTTATGCTAATGTCGCATCCCTGAAACAGGGCAACGTGGTTCTTTCGGGCACAGTGATTCATTCCGCTTTCAAATGCACTGTTCACGCTGGCTGCCTGGATCTTTTTTGTTGTTGTTGTTGTTTAATCCCCTTGGGTCATAGTTTTACAATTATTTAAAGTGCATGGAAAAAATAGATTACAGAGGGAATCATTTTGAAATGTTGGAAATCTCTACTTTGCAGTTTCATTTGTCAGCCTATTTATTTTTTCATGCAAAATGCATCCAGAAGCCCCCTGTATTCCAGAGGAATTGACTTCAATTGTCTGAGGTGCTAGTAAGCAATGAATGGAGTTTTCAGTAAGGTAGTTTGTAATCTGGCCTTTATCATCTCCTTGCCTTCCTGTGAATTAGCATCCTTTTAAATATAAAGTTAGCTCTTCTGCCCTCCTCAACAGAATGAGGACATCTGGTTTCATCCAGATGGGTGGGTCTGACCACATCCGTGCATGCAGCATTTGCTTAACCTGCCCAGGACCGAGGAGGGAGGTACGGAGCTGTGGGAATGAGCGCAATGAACCCGAGCGAGCCGCTACCACGGGGTCGGAAATGAGCACCAGTAATCCCATCGCACGGCCTGTGCCACAGCCCGGGAAGGTCTCCCGGCGGCCTCTAGCCGACCTTCATGCAGACCTGGCACCTGCTGATCTTCTCGCGCTGGGCCTGGCTGTCCTTCAAGGTTTCTGGTGATGGTGCCGCGGAAAACTGCAAGTGTGGTTTGACCGCCGTCAGCCAGAAGCTGTACTTGTTTGCAAAGAAGTGGCACGTTCCCAGCCGGCCTTGGCATTCGAGGAATGGAGCGGCTCGGAAATCTTCCAGGCAGCTGCCAGGTGACGTGAGCGCCTGCCCTCCTCCTTGGTCCCCAGCGCCTGTGTGCTACCAGGACAACAGGGGAGAATTAGGGCCCAGATACACGCAGACAACCCCAGGCCCGAGCAGGGACGTGCCGGGGCCTGGGCCTGACTTTTTCATTTTTCCTGAAATTACTCCAGCAAGACCAAACTCGACCTGCTGAGGAAAAGAGCAGCAGGGAAGAGCTGGGTGTGCGCACAAATTTCAACCTCTCCCCCACCGATGTCCGAATCGATTCCTGCTTCTAAACTGTACCCCAGTAGGAGAAAAACCACACCTGCCAACGAGGAGCAGCCAGCCCTGCGGCTCAGCAGGCTACGGCGTGGGGGCCCCTGGCGACCGCCCGCCCTGCCGCGGCCTGTGGGGCCGCAGGGACTCACCATGAGGAAGGAGTACCCGATCCAGAGGCTGCGCCAGGCGCGCGGACACGGCGGGATGGCCTGGTCCTGGCTGTGCAGCGCCACCGCCTGCGCCGGGGCCTCGCACACGGCGCAGCGGCTGATGTAGGGGCGGATGTCCTCCCCGGCCAGCGGCGACATGGGCAGGGGCGCGGCGCTGGCCAGCCAGTAGGACCTGTCGTTTCTCCGGGCGTAGTGGCAGACTTGGTGGATGTTGCAGTAGGCGAAGGGCAGTGTGCTGAACACCGGGAGGCAAGACCCCGCCAGACCTTGGGAAGGAGGCGAGACCACGTGGCATTGGAGTCGCCTGTCCCGGTGCCCCCAGCGACCTTCCTGCGTGTTTGCAGACACGCGGCCCAGCGCACGGAGGCCCTGGCCCAAGTCTACTTCTGTGCGGGCGAAAGCGGGTATGGGCCTGACCGTTTCGGCCACCTCCCTGGACCCTCGGGCCAGCCCTCCTTCCCGCACCCCCCATGACTCAGAGCCAAGCACTCAGCCAGGTGGGGGGCGCCGTGAGCACCT